AGCAATATTTATATCTGACAAAATAGACCTCAAAGTGAAGGCCATAACAAGAGATAAGGAAGGCCACTTCATAAGATTAAAGGGATTGATACAACAAGAGGATATAACCCTTATAAACATATATTCACCCAGTGCAGGAGCACCCAAATACATAAAAAACCTCCTGGAAAATAACAAGGGAGAGATCAACAACAACACAATCATAGTAGGGGACTTAAACACACCACTGACATCACTGGATAAATCCTCTAGACAAAAAATCAGCAAAGAAACAGCAATCCTAAATGACTCACTAGATCAGATGGACTTAATTGACATCTTCAGAACAGTTCACCCCAAAGCCACAAAATATATGTTCTTCTCAAGTGCACATGGGACATCTTCAAAAATAGACCACATATTGGGCCACAAGCAAAGTCTCCCCAAATACAAGAAGACTGAAATCATACCAAGCATCTTCTCAGATCACAAGGGCATAATATTAGAAATAAACCACAATAAAAACAATCCAAAAAACTCAAACATTTGGAAGCTGAATAGCATGTTACTAAATAATGATTGGGTTACCAGTGAGATCAAAGTAGAAATTAAAAACACCCTGGAAACTAATGACAATAACAGTACAACAACCCAAAATCTATGGGACACAATGAAAGCAGTCCTGAGAGGGAAGTTTATAGCACTATAGGCCTACCTCAAAAAACAAGAAAAAATGATAGTAAATCATTTAACTCTACAACTCAAAGAATTAGAGAACAACAAAAAAAGCCCAGAGTGAGCAGAAGAAAGGAGATAATAAAGATCAGAGGAGAAATAAATGACATAGAGACCAAAAAACCAATATAAAAGATCAATGAAAGCAAGAGCTGGTTCCTTGAAAGGATAAACAAGATTGATGAGCCTCTAGCCAGGCTCACCAAGAAGCAAAGAGAGAGGACTCAAATAAACAAAATCAGAAATGAAAGAGGCGAAATAACAACAGACCCCTCAGAAATTCAAAGAATTGTTAAAAAATACTATGAACAACTCTAACAAACTAGACAATCTGGAGGAAATGGACATATTCCTAGAAAAATACAATCTTCCGAAACTCAATCCAGAGGATTATAAAAATCTCAACAGGCCAATAACAATGGAAGAAATTGAAGCAGTCATCAAAAAGCTCCCAGCAAACAAAAGCCTGGGGCCAGACGGCTTCGCAGGAGAGTTTTACCAAACCTTCAAGGAAGAACTAAAACATATACTCCTCAGACTATTCCAAAAATTCAAGAAGAAGGAACACTTCCCGGCTCATTCTGTGAAGCCAGCATCACCCTAATACCAAAACCAGATAGAGACAACACAATGAAAGAGAATTATAGGCCAATATCCCTCATGAACATAGATGCCATAATACTCAACAAAATTCTAGCAAATCGGATCCAGCAATACATCAGGAAGATCATACACCATGACCAAGTAGGATTTATTCCAGGGAAGCAAGGATGGTACAATATCCGCAAATCAATAAATGTGATTCATCACATAAACAAATTGATAAAAACCACAGTCATATCAATTGATGCAGAAAAAGCTTTCGACCAAATTCAACACCCTTTCTTGATAAAAACTCTCAGCAAGGTAGGAATAGAAGGATCATACCTCACATAATAAAAGCCATATATGACAAACCCACAGCCAACATCATAATCAATGGGCAAAAACTAAAACCATTTCCCCTGAGAACAGGAACAAGACAGGGATGCCGCCTCTCACCACTGCTGTTCAACATAGTACTGGAAGTACTAGCTATCAGACAAGAAGAAGAAATAAAAGGCAACCAAATTGGAAAAGACGAAGTAAAACTGTCCTTATTTGCAGATGACATGATACTGTACATAGAAAACCCTAAAGACTCCATCAAAAAATTAGTAGACCTAATAAATGAGTTTGGCAATGTAGCAGGATACAAAATTAATGCCAAGAAATCTAAGACATTTCTTTACTCCAATAGTGAACTTACAGGAAGGGAGACTAAAAAAGCAATCCCATTTACCATTGCATCAAAAAAATTAAGATACCTAGGAATAAACTTAACTAAGGAGGTAAAAGACTTATATGCGAAAAACTACAGGGCACTGAAAAAAGAGATTGAGGAAGACATAAACAGATGCAATAACATACTGTGTTCATGGATTGGTAGAATCAACATCATCAAAATGTCCATACTACCCAAAGCAATCTATAGATTCAATGCAATCCCCATTAAATTACCAACGGCATATTTCTCAGATCTAGAATGAACGTTCCAAAAATTCATCTGAAATAAAAAAAGACCTTGAATAGCTGCAGCAATCCTGAGAAGAACAAAGTAGGTGGGATCTCAATACCAGATATCAAACTGTATTGCAAAGCCACTGTTCTTAAAACAGCTTGGTACTGGCACAAGAACAGACATATAGATCAATGGAATAGAATAGAGAACCCAGAAATTGACCCAAAGCACTATGCCCAATTAATATTCGACAAAGGAGGCAAGAGCATACAATGGAGTCAAGACAGTCTCTTCAATAAATGGTGTTGGGAAAATTGGATACATGCAAGAAAATGAAACTAGACCACCAACTCACACCATACATAAAAATAAACTCAAAATGGATAAAAGACTTAAACGTAAGACAGGAAACCATAAAAATACTAGAGGAATCCACAGGCAGCAAAATCGCAAACATATGCCGAAGGAATTTCTTCTCTGATAATGCTCCTAGAGAAAATAAACAAATGGGACTACATTAAAATAAAAAGCTTTTGCACAGCAAAGGAAACCATCAACAAAACAACAAGAAGATCCACTGCATGGGAGAACATATTTGCCAATGATATCACTGATAAGGGTTTAATCTCCAACATTTACAGGGAACTCATGAAACTTAACAATAGGAAGATAAACAATCCAATCAAAAAATGGGCAACGGACCTAGATACTTTCCGAAAGAGGACATAAAGAAGGCCGAAAGACATATGAAAACATGCTGAAAGTCACAATTATACGAGAGATGCAAATCAAAACAATGCGGTATCATCTCACACCTGTCATAATGGCTATCATGAACAAACAACAAGTATTGGAAAGGATGTGGAGAAAAAGGGGCTGGCACCTGAGGACACGGCTGTCTTTTTGAATCAGGAGGGAGTCACAAGCTCCCGACTGCTCTGAACTCCAGTTCCGGGAAGTCTCTGGGGACCCAGGACTCATACGGGGAGAAACTGGACTGTCTGGCAGCAGGCAGAACTCGGAACTTGAGGGCAGCTTTCCCTCAGAGGTAACTGCAGCAATTACTGGGACACTGAGACGTGGGACCCCTTAGGGCAGGTCTGAGGATCAGCCATAGCTGCTTGCTCCGCCCTGTTGTGGAGCCTCTGGGACAGCTTCAAGCATACCAACATCCGAATTATAGGGGTGCCAGAAGAAGAGAGAGAGCAAGATATTGAAAACCTACTTGAAGAAATAATGACAGAAAACTTCCCCTACCTGGTGAAAGAAATAGACTTACAAGTCCAGGAAGCACAGAGAACCCCAAACAAAAGGAATCCAAAGAGGACCACACCAAGACACATCATAATTAAAATGCCAAGACCAAAAGACAAAGAGAGAATCTTAAAAGCAGCAAGAGGCCGAACCGGTTTGGCTCAGTGGATAGAGCGTCGGCCTGCGGACTGAGAGGTCCCGGGTTCGATTCCGGTCGAGGGCATGTACCTTGGTTGCGGGCACATCCCCAGTGGGGGGTGTGCAGGAGGCGGCTGATCGATGTTTCTCTCTCATCGATGTTTCTGGCTCTCTATCCCTCTCCCTTCTTCTCTGTAAAAAATCAATAAAATATATTAAAAAAAAAAAAAAAAAAGCAGCAAGAGAAAGAAAGTCAGTTACATACAAGGGAGTACCCATACGACTGTCAGCTGATTTCTCAACAGAAACTTTGCAGGCCGGAAGGGAGTGGCAAGAAATATTCAAAGTGATGAATGCCAAGAACCTACAACCAAGATTACTTTATCCAGCAAAGCTATCATTCAGAATTGAAGGCCAGATAAAGAGTTTCACAGATAAGAAAAAGCTAAAGGAGTTCATCACCACCAAACCAGCATTATATAAATGCTGAAAGGTATTCTTTAAGAAGAGGAAGAAGAAAAAGGTAAAGATAAAAATTATGAACAGCAAATACATATCTATCAATAAGTGAATCTAAAAATCAAGTGAATAAAAAATCTGATGAACAGAGTAAACTGGTGAATATAATAGAACCAGGGGCATGGAAAGGGAATGGACTGACAATTCTTGGGGGGAAAGGGGTGTGGGGGATGCAGGAAGAGACTGGACAAAAATCATACACCTATGGATGAGGACAGTGGGAACTGGGTGGAGGAGAGCTATGGGGGGAAAAAAGAGGAACAACTGTAATAATCGGAACAATAAAGATTTAATTAAAAAAATAAAAACTATCACTTTTCTATGTTATGAAGTTTTGAATGGACCTTTAGATTCAAGTTAGGCTTTTTATTTGTTCTCTTTGGAAGACTACATTGTAAAATGACTCTAGGAATTTCTAAGTAAAATCCCATATGAAGTATTTTGTCTGATACAGGGGAGAATTCTTTTGAGATATGACATGTCTATGTGTATAAATAAAGGATTATATAAATTCCTAGGTTGGGCCAGGAATAGCTGATAATAAACTCTGTTTCTCTCAAAATCATATGAAGAGAATAAAGGCCTTTTTACTTTTTGCTAAATGGTGATTAATCACTGATCATCAATTTTCATATTTAACACAATTCCAACTTACATATTTATATTGTACTATTTAGCCAGGCTTAATTGTTTTGTTTTTTAAAAGACAGTATCTTTACAAAGAAAGTAATTCAAATTAACCAACCATGACCTACAAACATAAACAGAAATGATACTGAATAAGTATTGATTAAAACAAAAAGCACTTTAAAAAAAACCCAGCATGAATTCTTACCTACTCCAGAGGTTATTGATTCTGCATCAATGTCTCGAGCTCTTTTTCTTGCCACTTCAGCTAGTGCCAATTCACCCTTATCTAGTGCAAGGTAATGGATGTCCTTTGGAAAGAAAGCAAAATAAAAGATTAATCCAAAATGAATGATGGTTAAGTTACAAAGGAGATTTTGAAAGGAAGAATTTATTGTTCAGATTACAAAGCAGACATGACGTATGAATATTCTTTTTTTGTATTTTAATTTTCTTGAAATGGAGATTATAGCTATAACTAATGGCAATTATTTATACAAGTTATTTTAAATCTTTAAATCAAATGTTTGACATACTCAGTTTTGTTAGGGAATAGAAATCTTAATTACTGTTTTCCCTGTGGGGAGATTTTAATGAAGAAAAACCTCAGCTTCTTCAAAATTCAGTTGTTTGGAATACTAGTACCAAATTTGTCTCTGATATTTATGTGTCTAACACATATTACTTTGTTAAGATTATTAGTACTACTATTTGAACTCATTCTGTCAACAAATCATTGCCTCCTAACTGCCAGCGGTTTTTGGAGTACACAGCTCAATTACAATACCCGGTTTCAAGAAGCTCTGAGCCCAGTGGGGAGACCACTGTAAGCAACAGTTAAAGAATTAAAGTGCTATGAAGCGAAAGAGAAGGAATTGATCCTTGATCTGAGTCTTGAAGGATAAATAAAAGTTATACTAGGCAATGGCAGGTCTTTCAATATTAAAGGAGTACTGGATGGACTTAGAACATTTTTGTTACACAGAATGATTATTGGAACGATAATTTTACTGCAATAAAAATGGATAAAGAATATGAGCAGTCAGTTTACAATGAAATATAAATAACCTATAATCATGAAAAACATTTCACTGTATTAATACTCAAATACAAATCAAAAAATGTAATTTCAAATTAAACTTTAAAGTTAATATTTACTGTTTGCAAGGTTTGTGGGGAGATCAGCACTTATAATTACTGGGAATGTAAGAATTTATGCAGCAGGGGTTGATAAACTATGGCCTATGGGCTAAATATAGCCTGCCTCTTGTACAGTCCTTAAGAATGATGTTTACATTTTGAAATGGTTGAAGAACTGTGCTCTTATTTAATTCTGAATGGCTTTCAAATTAGCTTATGCTATAGACTTGAAAATGTTTCAACCTAAAACTATAAGGCAAAACTAGTTATATGGGAAACCTAATACAGTGATAAAGTTTCAATGAGAATTAACATTGTTTGACTTAAAAGTAATGTCAGGCTATGGTACATTTCCTGCACTGTCAAAAGCTAAAAAAAAAAAAAAACAAAAAACAAAAAAAAGACCTGAGATCTCCATTTCTACACAAATTCCCAGCAGCATACTTTCCAATTTTAATCCACAGCAGAGTTTCTCAGCCTTGATGCAAGGGCAAAGAAATGTCCATATTCCAAAATCTACTTAATAGTGTGATTGAAGAACTTTAATTGGAAGTGATTAGTGCAATGTAATGACATGCTAAAAGGTAGACGAGTCTTTTAGCTAATAGAATTCTAAAAATGACCTCTCATAGATTGATATCAATATATGGCAATTCCTATCTTTGAAGAAAGAAATTTGTAAAGGTGAAATATGTAAAACTTCATCACAGATGTGCATTAACAGATGAACATTTGCAATAGATTTTGATAATAAAGAACACTGACTTTCAACCCTAATTGAAATGTTATCCCCACCAAATTCCATTATTCACATTCATAGACTTGTCTTACAAAAATTGTACTCAGGGGAGAACCAAGATGGTGGCATAGGTTAACGCCGGAGATTGCTGCCTTGAACAACCAAATCAAAACACACCTAAAAGACGGAACGGACATCATCCAGAACCACAGGAAGGCTGGCTGAGTGGAAATTCTACAACTAGGAGGAAAGAGAATATCATACCCAGACTCAGAGGAGGCGCAGTGCTGAAGTGAAATACTCAGGTACGGAGTGTGCGCAGAGTGGGCTGGCGGCGGAGGGCGCGGTTGGTGCTTTCAATCGGGAGGGAGTCTCAGATTCTGAGCTCCAGATCCGGGCGAGTCTAGGGACCCAGACTCAAACGGGAGAAGCGGGACTGTCTGGCTTCAGTCGGAACTCGAAGGCAGCTTTCTCTCCAAGGTTTGCAGCAATTGCTGGGACTCTGTAAGGCAGAGCCCCTAGGGACGGAACTGAGAGCCGCCATAACTGCTCTCTCTGGCCCTCCCTGTTGATCCCGAGCCCGAGCGACCCACCCGCCCCGCCCAAGCCCTGTGCAGAGCCATTTGCCAGATAGCCTCAGGCAAAGGCTAGATTAGGTCCCTATATTCAATGAAGAAAATAATTTAAAATATGCCACTGTATTCAATTTGCTAGTATTGCATTTAAAACTTTTGCATCTATTTCATCCTAGCTAATAAAAGAGAAACATGGTAATTGGCGTATGACCGCTACCCTTCCCATTGGCTAATCAGGGCAATATGCAAATTAACTGTCAGCCAAGATGGCGGCCGGCAGCCAGGCAGCTTGAAACTAACATGAGGCTTGCTTGCTTCAGTGACGGAGGACTCCAACGTTCCCCGCCTGCTGCTGCAGGCCTCTGAGCTGCAAGCAACTATGTAACAAACATAGAAGCTAAACAAAACCCCAGAAACCTGCCGGGCTTCAGCCAGCAGGATCGCAACATTGTAAGCAAAGGCCAGAAACCTACTTTCAGCAGCGGAGGCCTAAGAGCTGGAGCCAAGCCTCAAAGCTAAAGCTGGCCCAGAATAAAAAAAAAGAAAAAGAAAAAAAGGAGCGGTTGGGAGTTTCCGTCACCCGCCAGCCTGAAAACAGCCCTCAGCCCCTCACCCAGACTGGCCAGGCACCCCAGTGGGGACCTCCACCCTAAAGGGTGTGTGACCAGCTGCGAACAGCCATCATCCCCTCACCCAGGCTGGCCAGGCACCCCAGTGGGAACCCCCACCCTGATCTGGGACACCCTTCAGGGCAAACCAGCCGGCCCCCACCCATGCACCAGGCCTCTATCCTATATAGTAAAAGGGTAATATGCAAACTGACCCTAACAGCAGAAAGACTGGGAATGACTGGTCACTATGACACACACTGACCACCAGGGGGCAGACGCTCAATGCAGGAGCTGCCCCCGGGTGGTCAGTGCGCTCCCACATGGGGGAGCTCTGCTCAGCCACAAGCCAGGCTGATGGCTGCCAGTACAGCGGTGGTGGTGGGAGCCTCTCCTGCCTCCTCAGCAGTGCTAAGGATGTCCTACTGCAGCTTAGGTCTGCTCCCCTCTGGCAAGTGGACATCCCCTGAGGGCTGCCGGACTGCCAGAGGAATGTCTGATTGCCAGCTTAGGCCCAATCCCCTGGGGAGCAGGCCTCAGCCAGCAGATGGTCATCCCCCGAGGGGTCCCAGACTATGCTGAGGGATCCCCCCTGAGTGCACCAATTTTTGTGCACTGGGCCTCTAGTTTTATTTTAAAAGTGTTACTAACTTGGACATAAGTTTTCAGGAAAATATTCATAAGAATGAACCATTTAATTTCTGCCATTCTTTCTCAATGACAATTTTATAATTTACCATTTACTAAAATGATTAGTATAATCATTTAGCACAATTAAGTGAAATTGGCTTCCTCTGAACAAAAGATAAACACCAGTAATCTCTGGTCATGATCCAGGTTTTCCATTTACACATATCTGTCTGTATCATCGAAGATCTAAAATAAAAAACTTGCTGTTCCTGGGTTCTCATTACCTTCACAGATGACTTTGAGTGTACTACTAGAATGAATATGCAAATTTACAACAAAAAGCATTTAACACTAAAAAAATCTTGAATAGGTTTTTCATCTTTAAATTATACTGTAGATCAGTCATTGACAGATAATGACAACTATAACATTTTATTGTTGTTATAACCTTTTCTAATTTTCATGTCTGAGTATTCATGGTATGCAGAAGCACGAAGAAAGACATGCAACAGCTAAATGATGATACTAATATGTCAACTTGGCAAATGGTAAATTACAAAATGGCCATATACATATTTAAGATTACCATGTTCTACCCTTCCCTGCTGTAGTACTTTACTTAGTTAAAATCAATTGCTAATTGAAAATTTAAATCCATAACCTTCAGCTTTCTAAGTTTAAGTTTCACCCAAAATTTTGCTTCCAGAAAATTCAAGTTCATGATGCTCTATTTCAAGTACAGATAAAATAAAATGTTGATACCATTCCTGTTCTACTTATTTAAAAATAACATTTCTTTTCATAGGGCAAATATGATCAATAAGAAATTTTAAGAAGAATAAAATATTTGATAATGTGTTAATATTATAGAATTTTCATATTTTGTAGATATGAGGAAAAAGTAAATTTCAAGATAAGCAAGTATATTAAATACTTTATATCATAGTTATATTGATATAAATTTTAGTAATTAGTCCTTAATGTCTACATAATGTTTCATACTCTTTCTTATATAAGTAAGAACAATGAATAATCCTTTTAAATGTGAAAATATATGGGAAGAACTTATATTTTGTTACCAAATGAATTTACTTGGAATGGCACATGCCTTCATATTAGACTAAGTTTTTGGAAGTTTTCATAGGACTCAAATAAAACATGATTTCTTTTCAAGAGTTATATTTGGGGCTTGTTTAAATTTTCTCTTTGGGGCTACTAGACTATTTAAATTCATTTATTTTGAATTTTTAGCCATTTAGATTTTTAATAGAAAATTATTCATATTTCACTACGCTTCCATATTTATTCCACTGTTTTATATACTATTAAACAACATAGATTTGAACTGCATGGGTGCACTTATCTCAATAAATACAATCAGCCCTCTGTATTTACAGGTTTCACATCTGTGGATTCAACCTAATACAGATTGAAAACAGTATTTTTGGTCCATGATTGGGAATCTGCAGATGCATAGGGCCAACTGTATGCATTATTCTATGCTTTTTATATAAGGTTTTTGAGCATCCCCAAAGGATCATGGAGCCAATTCCCTTTGGATGCTGAGGTCTAACTGTAGTTAAGTTTTTGGGGGAGTCAAAAGTTATATGCAGATTATT